TAAATCTGCCGCTCGTATGATAATCGGAAATTTTGAAAAATCCCGCGTGTATTTCAAAGCTGTTTCCACCATTGTTCCAAAGTAGCCATATACGGTCATTTTTAATCGTTAAACAAAGCCTGCTTAACTTTGAGGTGATCCACTTTTATTGACAACTGACTTATCGCAAGCTCCACTGTCCTAATTTTATCTCTTGCTGTTATCACAGATGACCACGGAATCACTAATTCTAGTCACTAAGACCTCGCAAAAACATTAAAATTTAGACATCGAAATCTCATATTGTGTCGAATAAATTTGGAATGTAAGGCTTTTTCGTAGGCAAACTTTTGTCAGCAAACTTTTCAGGTAATAAAAAAACTCTTAACCCTGATGACATTTTTGATTTTTTGATGGACGGACGACAAGCGTATCACTAAAAGAAAAATCTTACGAAACAGGTGGAAAGTACCTTCCCTGTCAAGAAGACTCCCAAACCAAATGATCGAGTGAAACCGCACCAAAATGAGATATCCAAAAATTTCATTCAAGCCTGTGACGACGGAAGTCGAACGTCCACAGATCACTTACTTGGGTGTTAGTTATCTAAAACATAGAAAAATCTTGCTTCTTTCTTCTTCTTACTAAAAATCTCCCCGACAGATCGTTCTTCAAGTAACAACCCCAATGTTAGAAAAATATCTAGTTCATACATTTCCTTAATGATGGCATATTTTCTACACACAACCACCATTGCCACTTATTGTGATGATAGGTTTTCGCGCACTAAACTGGAATTCGCGGGAACGTACTTAACTTGGTAGAGACCACTCGGCTTGAGAGAACGAAAACTCGTCACGATTTTCTGGCACACGGAGATCTACTTCTAATGAGCTTGTACGGACGTCAAGGAGGAGACAGCGTTTTGGTTCCACAGTACTTTTATTCGTAGAGCGCTCTAACACACATCATGCTAGAGTCATAGCTAAAACTGTAATCATCAAAACTGTACAAGGTACTTGCTTAAGAACTAACTGGTGTGAGGTGCTATTGTTACACAGATCGCAATATTCGAATAAAGACACAAAGGAGCGGAAAAAGGTCTCTTTGAAGATAAACGAAAATTACTCAGATATTCCATCTGTTTCTACGACGAAAATAATCTCAAAATTAAAAGGACGGATACAATAAACTCGAGGCCATTAAAGTAGCAAACTTAGGTGCGAATCCACAGTTCTTGTATAGAAAATAATACCTTTCTTGATCACAGCAGAGCAGCTTAGGAAATAAAAACGGAAAAACAATTAAAAGTTTCCGCTTATCTACGCAAGGCTGGTGTGGAAACCGTCATGTGAAAAGAAATTAAGTTACGAGTATAAACTTAGCTGCTAACTACTATGAAAACCAATTTTACAAAAAGACCATTAAAACATATATTTACCTAAAGAACCATGTAATAAATAACAAAAGTGCCGACAAGCAGGTGCATATGATGAAGCGAGTAACAACAAAAATCTATTCCAAAAGCTACTGTGGTTTTTAGACATTTTATTTAACTTACTAGAAAGAAAACCCCAATAAACCCAATTTTTTAAAAGCGAAAGTACACAAATATATATGGAAGATTAGCGAATATATTTGCCCAAAAAGACCATGAAAACACTAAATATAATATTTTATGATATACATTATCAATTCAATTGCTCTGGTTATAATTTTATAATATAGCAACAATTTGAATAGAACAACCCGTTCATCATCCTTCCCCGCTTAACTGGTCAAGTGAAAGAACGAACTGAACACAGGAACTAGGTCGAAACCGGAAAAATAAACTTGAACTGCGCGGCCATAAGATACTAAAAATTTGTCCAAACTAAAACACATAATTTTCCCCCTAACATTTTGTCACTGCGCTTTGTTCTTCGTGATGCAATTGACTTTAATAAAGTCTCGAAACCTTATGTATGTAAATTATGTATGAGTTTCCAGACAAGTGGTTACTCAACATATGTCATAATAGAAGCAGTAGGAAATAGTTTCTCTGCTATTGAACGACTATTTTTACATTTTAAACTCTGCAAGCCGATTCAAATTTCTTCTTTGACCCTACAAATCGTAACTTAAGAAGGCGATCGCAAATGAAAGTGGTATTCCATGTGGAGACCGAGTTTTAAGCCAACAAATTCAGATTTTGCTACACGTTGCTCTCTCTATATATCCTTTGTGTCTCGTTAAATTCGATATTTTCACTATTTTGCACCATTTTGCCACATGCTTGGCTTTTTTGCGACAATGATATAAATGAATCATCATTTGAGGGCTGGCTTTCCGCATTATCGTGATCATTCACTAGTGGATGAGATTCGGAATGACATGAATAATATGAATTCTGACTTGAGGCGCTATGGGTTGATAGCTCACTGGATGAAGGCTGCCTTGCGTCACTAATAGAGACACCTGTAAGTGTCTGTCTTGAGTCTATGACTTTCTCTTCTGATTTTTTTTTCTTGCCCAGAAGCTTCTTAGAAGTCAACCAAATGAAGGTAGCAAGAGCAGTCATAAGTATGGTCTTTACTGTTTCATACGCATTTTCTCTTCCATTAAACCACGGGCTGGCGAATAGTAATGCCGGGATTAGGAAAAGAACAGCAAGAAAACTCAACATACCAGGCAATAGAGCATCCAGTTTATCGGGTTTCACTTCATCTTGTGTACAGCTAATTAAAGTAAGATATTCGTAGACAGCATAGGTGAAGGAGGCAAAAATAAAGCATATTATAAGCGTAACAGTCAAGCCCCAAGTTGGGTTAAGCATTATGCCA